ATATCACCTTTGCTTTTTCCCACTAGCAGCTGGCTTGAGAGGAGTTTGGTGTAAAGCACATTGACAATGGTTGAGGAGGTCTTAATTTTTTTAAAATTGCTGCAATTACAAGACACCATCTCGCTGTAGCTTTTAGGAACCTTACTCAAAATTACTGCCCAATTGTGCCAGGTATTTTACATCGAAAGGCAGTCACCTCTTGCACTGCAGACCTCAGCTCTCACTGTGCTGTGGGAGACTGGAGAGGGAGCGAGCAACACTCTGGCTTCTCTGAGCTGTTGGTGTTGGGGTTGCTTTCTGACGCTCCCGTTCTGCCGACAGGTTATGGCATCGAGCACGCACAGTGCGTGCCTCCCTCCGAGTTCTCTGAGCCCAGCTTCATCACAGAGTCCTACCAGACCCTCCATCCCATCAGCTCGGAAGAGCTCCTGTCCCTCAAGTACGAGAACGACTATCCCTCGGTCATCTTGCGTGACCCGGTGCAGACAGACTCCCTGCAGACAGACTACTTCACGATCAAGCAAGAAGTTGTAACGCCGGATAACATGTGCATGGGACGTGCCAGCCGAGGTAAAGTTGGGTATCTCCCAGGGTTTGCTTGGGTTCCTGCTACTCTACCTATGTCAACGAAAGTGCTGCCTTCCCTTCTGTAGGAGACAGTGCTTTGGGGGCACCAAGGCCGTCGGGGAGACGTGCAACGCCAGTAACGAAGCCATTTCCCAACATACTTATCTTATGGGGTTGAGCTCCCAGATGGGTTCCCTGATGGCTTTGAGCCCTCCCTGCCTTTCTCTCCAGGGAAAACATGAAGAAGGTCTCTCTTTGCTCTGCTCTGCTGCCTGTTTTTACGACATCAGCAAATATGCAGCATTTCTGGCTCCGCACTTTGGTGTCAAACTTGACTGAAGTTAAAATAGGCTTTAAGGTTATTAGGGAGGACAGACTGCTGTGTGGTTGTATAAATCTCGTTTTCCTAGAAGACCAGGCAAAACCCCGCAAGTTCTTCACAAGTTCTCATCAGGAATTACTGTCCCAGGCTCTGAAGGGTTTTACACTTGATGATCCAAAGTCTTTATCTATTATCTCCACTGATTTTGACGGCTGCTTGCTGGAACTGATAATCTGTTCTGATGAACCCGAGCCCTGTGCTTTGTTAGGAGGTGCAGATGTCATGGGTTGAGTCAGTGACAGATCTGAAGGACCCCCTGAATCCTTGTGCTACAGCCCTACATCTCCAAAGAGTTACAGATACACGATTCCTGTTGGAGATGATGGGCTTTAAACACCTAAACACTTTTGAGGATCTGAGCCCAAGTACCTTTTCAATTAATATTATTAAATTCTGAACACATGGGGCCCAGATGCCCGACTACTTTGTAATTACACAGCTTAATGCAAGGCTGAGGATCTGGCTCACAGTGTATATTCAAAGCAAAAGTTTAATCCATAGAGCTCAAAGTCACTTACAAAGGGGTATCATTATCTCCTGATTCCAGGTAGGGAACCTGAGGCACGGGGAAGAGATCTGACCTGCCTCCGATCGCGCCCTGAATAGAATCCAGGTGTCCCCATGCCTAAAATTCATTATAGTAACATGTTGCTGTGAGCCAGGTTTGATGTTGAACGTTTAAACCCATTCATCCAGCAACGAGAGCCGAAGATGTGCTGGTTTCCTGTGAAAGCTGGAGCCCCTCTGCAGGTCTGCATCCCGTACGCGTTGCTCAGTGCAGCTCATTTTACCTTTCTCATTCTTTTTCCAAGCTGGGAGAGCTAATGACAGGAAAGTTATTATTTGTATTATTACCTCTGCTTCTGCTGCTGGCTGGGTGTTAATATGAGAGAGGTGACTTGGACGCTACGGTCAGCCGAAAGGGCAGCGGAGTTACAATTTTAGGCAAGCTCCTCTTTCTGGGCTTGTTTTTCTGGATATCTTTCATCGGTGTCTTTCCCTTTTCTTGATCAACATAGGTGATTTCATCATAATTCTCACTGAAGTGCAATGATTCAGGCATGCTTTTGCAACGGTACCTCGAGCCTGCGCTCGCTGGCAAGCCTAAAAAGGCTCCAGGGGAGGGAAGAGCGAGTCCTTAACTCAGCGTTGGGGACCAAGGGCCCCTGGTGTTAGCGAACACCGAATGCAACTGAAGAAATGCAACAGGCTACAGCTGTGCTTACACTACAGCTGCATTTCGGCCATGCAGAAGGGCCTTTGGGTGGCATTAATCCTCCCAGAGCGGTATAAAGAAGCCTCCAGAGCGGTATAAAGAAGCTTTAATAATATAAAGCAGAGTCCAGTTGATTTATATTTACGTACATCTTCACCTTCCCCTGGTAGGTTAGTCTGTCGTGGAGTCAAGCACTTCAGCAGCGGGAGATTCAGGCTGAAGTTTTTCCACATCGTCGCCTTTTGCCTTTCTTTGTGTGGGCTTCAGGAGTGAATTTTGTGGTCCTTTGGGAGCTGTTTCGCTTTGCCTTATCAGCGAGGGAGGGTGTCTGGTTGGAAAGTGTTGCTGCCAAACTCTTAACAAGCTTCTCCTGAGTAGGTGCAAGGCATGATTTTTCAAAGGCTCACGGTTAAGTCAAATTTAGGTGAATTTTCAATGAAGTGACGCAAGTCGTGTCTCCGACGCCGCGGCTGTTTATCTGGCAGATTGTTAATTCCTTTTCTATGCGAGCTTGGGCCGCAGGACTTCTCAGGGAAGTGGTTCTGCCAATTAATGAAGATGCACAAAGCGGTCTGAATGTTCCCCTTGCAGGATTCAGGAAGTGATTGAAGTGTATTCTGTGAAATTCTCAAAAAACTGAAAGGAAAAAAAAATAAAATGAGTTTGAAGAATGGATATTACCAGCAGAATCAAGCCAATGGAGCCAAACTTCAAATGATTCCGGTCCAGCAATCAGAGCAGAGCCCACAGTAGTTGAGTCTTTTCGCAGCAAGCGCTCTTCAAACTACAACACAACAAATATGTGGGGGAGTGTGCCAGCGTGATTCTACGTTGCTGTTCCCCTGTGATTTACTATTTGGGCCCAAGCTGTGGGTAGCTCTGCCAGTGGAAATTTCTCCAGGAGTTCTTGCACAATCCCAGCAGCTGTTTTTAGCCTGGTTTGGGAAATTAGTGAACTTGAATGATCCTGTTACGCTCTTAGTTTGTCAGTAAAGCTGTTGAGCAATCGGCAGCGTACGGGAGATCAGAGAGAGCAATTCCAGTTTGTTCTTTGGATCCTTTTTTAGCTCTCTTTTAAGTACAGAGGGTATACTTACACTGTCTCTAGTGGGTGTAAATCAGCATAGCACTGCTGAGGATCTGGCCTCTCCTGTTCTGGTCTTTGCTAAAAATACCCCAGAGAGTAGCTTTGATACAACCCAGCTGTGCTCACCTTACCAGAACTGGAAAAATAGCTGTTTGAGCTCTCAGCCTTTTGCTCTCCTCCTCCATCAAATCTGCTGCTGTTCGGGGATTTGGGAGTGGAAGCTGATTGTAACATATGGCAATAAAAGGCTGCTGTATAGTTTTGCAGGGAACATCAAAAGTAAAGAACCTGGGTGTCCAGTGCCCTTGAATGTGCCTGAGCAGCATGTATATAGGGCTGGCAGATAGAATATGGGACTTACTGGAGACTTGTATCTTTCAGCAGCAAGAGCAAGAGGTCCTGGCACCTTGAACTGAGCCCTGAATATCTGTCTAAAGTGGATTATTTCTCTGCCATTGCTTTTTTTGAAACAGAGGACGATTTCCAGTTAGACCCAGGCGTTAGTCTTGGGTAGAGAGTCAGGACTTTGGGTTTTTCCCCTGACTCTTCCGTGCTTTGCTGCCTCAACTTCTCCAGGGCTCAGGTAGCCCTGCTCTGGATTACGAAGATTATAAAAGCATTCCAGTTTCAGGCTGTACTTGCGAGTTTGTTTGGAGATGAGGCATGGTGGGACAGCAGCATTTGCCTGGAAGGTGAAACATCCTTCTCCCGGCCGTGGCAAGCTAAAGCATTGCTGTGCTGGCCAGGCCCATCTCACACGCCCTTCCCTCTCGCCAGGTAAACTGGGTGGCCAGGACTCCTTCGAGAGCATAGAGAGCTACGACAGCTGCGACCGCCTGACGCAGTCCTGGAGCAGCCAGTCCTCTTTCCAGAGCCTGCAGCGCGTCCCCTCCTACGACAGCTTTGACTCTGAGGACTACCCCGCCGCCCTGCCCAACCACAAGCCCAAGGGCACCTTCAAGGACTATGTTCGAGATCGGGCCGATATGAACAAGGACAAGCC